GGGTCAAATGTATATTTAATTCAGGTCAATTTTATGTCTGACCCGACCTGACCTTATCAGGTCGGGTCAAGTCAATTTCCCGACCCGACCCGACCTGTTCGGAGCTCTAGTTTTTTATCTTTAAATTATTTTATTATTTTGAAATCAAAATATCTATCATATATATATAAATAAATCATAATTCTAAAGTTTTAAAAGAATAGAAAAGTTTATATTTTTAAAAAAAAAACAATAATAAAACATTTTTTTGAAAATATATTAGTTTTATACTTATCATCTGATTGTGATATGTAAGTAAAATTTAATATAATACAAAATTTCTATACTAAAAATCTTTTATAATAAAATAGGTTTTCTTAATATTAGTATAACTGATGATATAAAAGTTTAACTTAAAATATTTAATTAATAATAATAATAAAGCAATGCTTTAGCTTTTTGAATTATTTTTTATTTTTTTATATAATGCAATATTGATTGAGTTATATTAGGTTAAAATAGGATCAAATTTAATAAAAAATTATAAAATTGAAAATAAGAGATTTTATGTAATTCTTTTTTTTTTGATATCGATACTTTTGAATAGAGTTATATTAAATTAAAATCTAATCATGAGATTGAATTTAATTTAAGGTTTTACTATATTGAGTTACAGTTTTTTTAAATAAATAATCTATTCTATCATTTACTTAAATATACTATTAATAAGATGTCAATTGTTATATGAAAAAACTTTAAGCATTAAATTAAAAATGCTTATATATCATCATATTCAGATTTTATTTCATCTGAAAATAAAAATTATTCATCAGATTCTCCCCTAGAAAAGTATCTGATATTGTTTATGATAAGCTTGATATAGTAAAATAAAAAATCACCATATAATATTATAAACTATAAAAATAGAATAATATATAAATCACATGACTTATTATATATACTTATATAAGAAACGAATTAGATTATTTAATAAGTGCATTCCTTTTAATGAATAGAATTCAAATTTTTAATCAGATTAAGATTCAATCATAGAATAAAAATTTATCTGGATTTTTCTAATTTTTGATTATAAAGGTTTTGTCAAAAGTATTAATTGGAGAAACAATTTCAGCACAAGGGAAGCTGCATATCAATATGATACCAAGAAATTTTGAATAATAAAAGACTACTACTATAAAATAAAATTATACTTCGAAGTTACGTGATAAAATTTCTATATATAAAAAATTTTTTATTGAAATCAAAAAAAAAGTGACCCGGGAACCGTCCCATGACCCTAATTATTAATAAATACAAAATTTAAACGAATATTAACTTTGGTAATAATATGAATTATAAAGTATAGTATAGTGATTAAAAAGTAAAAGTAATTGCGGTTGTTTAATCTCCGAATTTGCATATTGATTAAAAACGTTTTCTTGATGAAAATTTTTGAAATTTACGTACCATCTGACATAATTGATTTCCTCTTCACAACTAGGGATGGGGACAGTTCTCTCGGTTCCATTTCGGTTCTGCTTCAACTCTCTAAAGAAAATTAAAAACTAGGAGCGTCAAGTTAAAATATTGAAATATTGATGATCAATAAAAAAATTTTTATTGATTGATAATTCAAAATCGATTCCGGTTCAATTTTAAAATTGGTAAAAATGGTTCTAAACCGTTCCAGAACCGACTCTTTTTAAACCGTCCCCATCCCTAATCACATCTGGTTCATGATAAGGAAAGTAAATATTTATTGTGAACTTTCAGCAATACTCTACGCACCGATAGTACACCACATAAATTGTTTTACAGTAACTCGCGACCCTTTCAGCCGAGACAGGATACCTGCATTGATGACATACATTTTGTTCCTGTGTTTACGTTGTCACCAACTCCATAGTGATTTCTGACTAGTTGCTATTAAACAACAAATAATCTGGGCACGTTGAACGAAGGCTGGTCATTAAATTAATTATCCTTCAATGATATTTCCGAACGGTGTAGTACTTATATTCTATCCAGAACCTGATTTCATTCGCGAATTTTTAAAGATATAATTGATATCAAAATCATTATTATCGAATGACGTAAACTAGAACGTTCGAGTCCATTTTTGAGCTTGGACGAATTCCAAAGTCAACTCAAGAACCGTTGGTCTACATAATCATATAGAAAGGTATCAAAATAAATATTCATTTAAAAAAATACTTCCTAAATTAACCTGTCTTTAGAAGCGTATACCTTACTTAATTTTTTAACAAAATATTCTAACTTTCTCTTAAATCTTTAAATCTGAAACCTAATTTTATATTCAATATAAACGTTTCGTTTTATTGTATTATATTTTCTTTCATATTTGAAAATGACATTCGACATTACAATGGAGACAAAAGTTTCGCGTAACAAGCCGTTTCGCAAATAAAACCAAAAAATGTTTTTTTGTCCCATTCTTTCCATTTTTGTCCCACATCTTGGAGATCAAATAAAAATATGATGAATAACAAAATTCGCGCCGGAAGTTAATATTTCGATACTAAAACAAAGTTTGTCCCAACCTATCAATGTTTTTCACATCGGGGTATCAATGGTCCCATTTGCATAAATTATTTTCTCATAGATAACGATAAGATTATCAGTCTTCTGGTTATTATGGATAATTTCTTGTTAGGTAGGTTAGTAAAACGTGTTTTTTTTTACGCCAAGGAATTAATGATAAATTATTGTTCTCAGTAATTTTTTATAAATAATAATGTGGTTCTTTTTTTTTCACATAATTTGTTTTTAAGGGATAAACAACAGAATATTTCTTGTTAGGAGGAGTTTGAAAAACGTATTATTTTACGCCAAGGAGTTCTTAGGAATTCTTCAATTTTAATGAGAAATCATGGTTCTCTGAAATTCTTTATAAATAAAGTGGTTCTTCCTACACGAGTTTTTTAAATAATATAAAAAATATTAACCAAAGATAAATTATCACAATGTTAAAACACTTCATTCTCGTTACCTTGTTTCTAACTTTAAATTTGGCTTGGTTAGCTCAATCTACCCCTGCCCAAAATTACCTTGAACACTGCTCTGGCGCTATAACCAAAGAATCTACCAAAAATGTCGTTTCTTTTTCAAAACCCTCTCATCAAAATGTTGTAATTATCAAAGGATCTGAAGAAATTGATTATTCTCTTTCAGAACCCTCTATTCAATATTCTCCTTCAAAATCTTCTTTTCAAAAACTTGAAACTGACAAAGAATCTACAGACGGAATCGTTTTCTCTCTTTCAGGACCTAAAGTTCGTGATTGCGAATATTGTGGTGGATTTGATAAATTCGAATGTGCTCATGAATGTTACATCAGAGGCTATAAATATTATGCTTGTGGAGAATGCTATTGTCATTGTTCAAACTAGTGAAATATCAGATTTTTTATTATGTTATGTCGGGATGTGTCCGATAAATATTTTACTTTCTCAATTAAATGATAGGTCATTTATGTGGATAGTTTGTATTGCTCTTATTTTTTATTTGTAAATTATTGGCTTCAGCAATGTAATTTTTTTTTATTGAAATAAAAATATCCTTTAATCTTGTTGGTGATATCAAATATTCCTTGCAGTTTTAATTCATATAAAGAATCGATAATCTTATACATAAAGTCTTATAAAATCACGTATTACTAATACTCATTCCTATAAATAGCTGAAATTTATTATATTTGGAAAGTATGATTCATAATTCCAAATCATCGCAAAGGTGGTTTATCAAAAGAAAGGTGGTTTGTCTTGCAATAGCAATCTTTTTGGGGGGGGCTTCATCAACATGTTTATATCACGAATCTTAATATAATCTTTATCACATTATAGTAATTTAATTCTTTGTGTAAAGTATTAGACGAAAACATTATAATATATTTTTAGCTATTCACTGAATCAATGACCGAAATACTAGTACAGAATATAGAAAGAAAATTTTAATTTAAATAATTAATAAAACTAATAAAACACCAAATATTTGAATTTCTTAATTTTTAAGATAAATCTTTTTAAAGGTATATATTTATATAGGATTTGCAAAATCAAATCAATCAAATCATTGGAATTCAAATTTCAGATACCCTTTTTTGCTATCTGAATTCCGATTTTTTTTATGATGCAGAAGTTTTATATAATGTTTATTAAGTTTACAAATTTATACAAGTATAAAAAGTAAGATAAGAAAATACAAAAATATCTATCTAGAAGAGTAAAAAACTAAGCTACAATCAATACAAAACTTATACTATGTATGCTAGACTAAATTTAGTAAAATTAAAGAAATTAAATAAAACAAACCATCTGATATGATTACTTTCTAACTAAAATTTTGACTAATTAAAATCTAATTTAACTGAATTAATGAATGATAATGAGAAAAGAGAAGGAGTAGTATGTAAAGTTAAACAGAATTCTATTAACCCAAATTCAAAATTAGTTTTATAATTAGAATTTATGTTATATTTAGGAATGCTAATAGTTACAATTATGATTAGTTATAACCAATCATAACTGTAACTGATATCATTCAATCAAAGGTTTCTAACTGATTAATTTTGACTGATTTTGATGAACTGGTTGACCAATTTTTTTTAGTAATCCAAAAAATTCTTTACATTTAATTAACTATCATTTTAATTATGTAATTTTTTATAAATAAAAATTTTTAATTTATTTTTTAAAAAAGTTTACTGTAAATATAAAGTAAACTTAATAAGCATATTAAATTAGCCTAAAAAAAAATAAGTAAAATATATAAGAAATTGAAATTTTAGCAAAATGTCATGTTATTATTATTTAAAGTTTAAATTAAAATTATCAATCAAAAACTTTAAATTATATTATTATTAAATAAATCAGTTATCCAATCAATATAACTAGTTAATAAACTGGTCAGTCAGTCAAAAGTTTCTGACCAACCATTAACTGATCATTAACTGATTATAATCAACTATTATCATCCCTAATTATGTTAGTTTTTCTATTCTTTGAATGATAAACATTTACATGTATAAATGTTTTATGTTTTATCAAAAAGGTCATGATAAATAGAAGAGAGCAAAGCTTTAGTAATGTTTACATTATTGAACAAGTTTACAAGAAACAACTTTTTTTATAATGTTAATAAAAATAAATCAGCAGTATTTTTAAGTAAAGACCAAATTGATAAATAACTAATTTAATAAATGATATGATTATATGATATATCATAATTATTTAATTTATTAATTTGAGAATTAAGGACCTTTGAATATTTAAAAGTTGGCTAAATAAGAATTTTATTATTATTGGAGTATTACTATTAAGAATGTATGTCTAAACTTTTTCAAAAATTTTATTTGAGTAATCTTATTAAAAGTTGTAATCATATTTTAAGAATCAGTACAAATTAAAGATGGTTTCTATAATTATTTTTAAAAATTTTAACTAGTTGCAACTTAAGTTGCAACTCTTTGAGATGCAATTATTTATGAATTTTTATATTAAAATAAATTTACAAGAAGTTGCAACTTATCAAATTGCAACTTTTTAATTACTATGCCATCTTTAGTACAAATTATATACTTGAATTTATAAATTTCTAAAACTACTACAGCTAATTCTGTTAAAGTAAAAGATAAAATATTGATAAAGGATTTGTATTAAAGACAAAGTTAATTTGAATCAGTTTATAATTATATTATTCTTATTTAACAGATAAGCATCTTAAGTTAAAAAGAAAATTATCAATATTAAGATTGCTTAACAAAATCTAGAGTTTAGACAGATATTTAAATAATAAAGATAAAGCTTAGTTAAATTATATTAAAACCTTATTAAAAATCTGTAAAATTTTGCAAAAGTTAAAATTATATCAAAACTTATAAAAATGGTGAAACTTATTAAAACCTTAATAAAAATTTAGTAAAATTAAAAGTTTAAATATTTAGCTAAATCCAAAATCCAAAATAAGTTTAGATAAATAACCTTAATATAGACAAATATAAAAAGAATCACTATTTGATAAAATTTTATATATGATCAAAAATGTTAATATCATTTAATTTTTAATTATTTTATAATATATTTTTAGGCTTTTACTAAGCTGAAGACTTTATATTTTATAATATTCAAAATGAAATAACTGAGAGTTAATGATTAAAATAAATTAATGATATTGTTAACATATGATTTTTGCAAACCACAATGATAGATAAGACATTTGAGTCATTTGAGTGGTTGCTTTTTATTAATAGCTTACTGGGTTCATTAAAATAATTGTAATAATATGTATATTTTTAAGTAAAAAAACACTTTTATAAGTCATAAATTATGTAATAATTAATCCTTATATTTCTAATATTATGCATGTAAAATAATTTTATTAAAGATAAGATATATATATATAAGAATAATAAAAATAAAAAAAAATAATAAAAAGATGAATAAATACATTAGTATCAGACTAGAGGAAATCTAATTTCCTAACATTCCAATATTTACAAACCATCTTATTTATATAAAATAATTTACATAGAATGATAAAACTAATTTATTATACATATCTAATAAATCAAATATATCTGTTATGTCTGACTTATCTAATATATCCTATTTATCGATTATGTCAGATATATCATATATGTCAGACATGAAATATCAGTTATGTCAGTTATATCAGATATCAAATATATAAAATTTCTAATGTTACATATAATTTATTTGCAGATCATCCAGTAGATTAATTCTGTAGATCATTTTTTGTAAATTTTCTAATAAATCAATTTTGTGAAATATGTTGATCATTTGTTATGTTACATTTTCTTATTATAGTCACTCTATAACAGTATTATAGTACTAAATAAAATAGTAAAGAAAAGCTATTATATATTTATAAAATGGGAACTTGTTAATAGAAAGGAGGAAAATCTAAATAAAATTAAAATTTTACTTCATATGTTAAATATGATTTTTTTAGTAAAATAAGTTTAGATTTAAAATTAACTTATAAAATAAATTTTTTTAGATTTTTACCTACAAGCTTTCAAATATAAATTATTTAGAACTTTCTAATAATATTAGATCATCTAATCATTTAATTCAATCAAGAAATAATATATCTAGTCAACTAAAATCAAGAAATAATTCATATGAAAGATGTTATTCATCATATTAAAATCTGATTTGAAGATTTACTAAAACTTATTAATTATGATTATCAGATTAAGAAAATTCTATATGTATATAATAATCAATAAAAAATTATGCAAATACACTAATAATATAAATTATCATATTAGTATAATTTTCAAAAACTATCATCTAATTTGCAACATTTAAATTTTTTATTGATTTATATTATGATGATTTTGATGCATTTGACAAAGTATATTATAAGCTTAGTAGACTTTATATACAATTTGAACTTTTAATAAAACAACATCTTAAAAATCACTTTTTAATTAGTTTGGTTTCATTTGATGCAAATTTGTAAATTTTATTAAGCTAATTATTCAACAAATACAAAAATTACAAAATAGAATTATTGTGATTAATTGTAAAAGTAAAAGAATATTAGTTTTTGTATATACAGTGAACTCTTGATATAACGAATTCTAGGATCTGGATATCAACTTCATTATAAGCTTATAATGAATTTTTTAAAGAATTTAATTGGCTAGTTCACTATAGTAAGGTAATTTTAATATATTTGATTTAAAAATTCGCTGTATCAAGGGTTCGCTATATCAAGGTTTGACTGTATAGGTCATCATACTCTAGATTCTCCTATTTTTCTTACCGTTTAATGGTTATTAAATATCATTTTTGGGCTCTTTAGTACTTTGGTATAATGCAATTTTTCCATTCCGCGAAGCCGAGAAACACTCTTTATGTTTTGGTAGGTGGGTAAAACTGAGTAACGCCTCTGGCGTTTAGTCGGTGATGAGAAGCTGAGAAACATTTCTATGTTTCGGTAGATGGATCGGAGCGGTTGCCAGGAAACCGAAAAAATATGCGTAATGCATGTTTCGTAGGTGGAAAAGCCGAAAAAACAATGTGCAAAACATGTTTTGTAGGTAGATTACTGGTGGAAACTGAAAAAATATGCTCTGCATATTTCGTAGGTGAAAAAGGACGAAATCAAAGCCGAAAAAAACATTGTTTTCGTAGGTGAAGATAGTAGTATGAGAATTTGTATTAACTAAATGTACTAGTTTTTGACCTGACAAATACACATTCACGCCTCATCAAGATAAAAGTTATTGACCAAAACAATATTAAAGAGGAATTTGAAAAGGGGTATTTATTGTTTCAAATAAAATATAAGATACATACTGTATATGCCAAACATATTTTATTAATATATATTTTTGTTATTTGGCTGGCCAAAATAACAATAGATAGAAGTATCTATTACTATTTTCGTTATTGTTATTATTATCTAAAATTACATTAATACCGCTACTTAAAAAATCGTTTTTACTGCCACTACTAATAATGGCGAAATTATCTTTTTTCTGGTTTTCTTTTCTATCTAAGTCTTGATTTTATCTAATGATGTTCTTTGTGGAGATTTTTGGTGCTGATAGAAATTTTGCAGAGCGACGGCTCGTGACTTAGTCGAAAATTATTAATGTATATAATATATAAACATTTTGTTACATATCCTTCTTTTGTATTTAGGATGCTTATCTTTATTCTTGCTCATACGAATATTTGCTTCAGATTCTGAATTGGATGAAGAATTAATGCTTGAATCAGAAGTATCAGAATTAGAAGTTGCAAATGTAGTAACTCCAGCTAAGGTAGGGATCCAAATTGACTATGATGGTGTATATTTTGATGACGAATTTGATCATGATTCCTCACCTCGGTCAGTGAGACAAATGAAGAGGTTGCTTCGCAATCTGATAAGATAGATGATGATAGTGACTGTAGTCATAACAATGATTTTGAAGAAGAGATGCCAGATGATTCAGATGATGATGGATACGGTGGATATAATGAATATAGTGAACGTTAGTGGTTAGACCTGGAATCCATTAATCCAGATTGCTAACGGATATCTGTTATTATCGAATACCCAGATTGAAAATTGACTAACAGATTGTCATTTGGATGCAAATATTACCTATCGGATTTAACTGGATAGACCTGATAAGTAACATATATATATATAGATTGATTAGCAAAGGGATGTTATGCGACTAACTATTTTTTGTATTTCTGCTTTACATTAAATAATATATTACATTATAATTATGAATAATATAAATATAATAGGTCGAGAAGTAACTCCAGAATCACCAAATAAGAAAATAAAAGTTGGTCAAAAAAAAAGAAGTTGGATTTGAACATATTTTGAAGTAGATATTGAAGAAAGATTAAGTGAAAAGGGGAACACTTAAAAGATGCAAAGTTCTGGATGCTAACGGAAACAAATGCAGAACCTATTATGTTAATGATGGTTCAACTGGAAATGCTATCAACCACTTATTGAATGATCATGAAATAACTAATGAGGGCAAAAAAATCAAGTCAGTATTTTTGTTTTAATTCTTTAAATTTAATTTATTATTTTTTTTTGTAAATTATAAAAAATTATTTATTTATTTCACTATACAGAATCAGACAACCCTTCCAACCATTGTAAAAACTCAAAAACATAAAGAAAGTCGGCAATGTGAACTACGTCAATTTCTAACTGATTGGATAGTAAATGATCTTCAACCACTATTTGTAGTTCGAAATCCTTCATTCTGTCAACTAATTGGTGAATTAGATCCTGCTTTTGTAATACCAGAAGAAAAAGGAATCAAAAAAATAATTTCTAATTCTTATAACTCTATGCTACTGGCATTAATTGAAAAAATCAATATAGAAGCAAAAAGTGTATCATTGACCACGGATATGTGGACCGCACGAAATAGGCAAGGTTATATTGGTGTCACTTGTTCATATATCAATACTAAATTTGAATTACATGAAGTTACTTTAACCGTGAATTATGTTCGGTATTCACATACCACCCAACATATTGCTGAGAGTTTGGAAGAAATTTTAACAGAATGGAATTTACATGAAAAGCTATTTATGATTACTACTGACAATGCCATGAATATGAAGAAAGCAATTTCAGATATGGATGGAGTCAAATGGAAAGCATGTAATGCACATACTCTTCAACTTGTTATTGGAAAAGGATTGGTTCTGATAAAAGCATTGATTACAAGGGTTAAGCGTCTAATCAAATTTTTCACGCGTTCTAAACAATCGGAACGTTTGGAAGATATTCAAAAAAAATATCCAAATGTAGATGAAAATGAAAGCTTGGAAACCAATGAATATATTGTAAGTTTTTTTAAATTTAATTTAATCTTTTAAAATAAATAAATATATAACTATTAGATTATAAACAAATGATATTATTTTGTATAATATGTATAATGATAATTTAATAAAATAAAGATATATTAATAAAAAATTTATTAAACATGATTTAATATTCGGAATTTTGAAAAAAATATTAATATAATATTTAATGATAATAATTTGATTTAGAATGCTAAAGATACATTAAAATACCTTCAAGTGATTAATAACATATCCATTCGTTGGAATTCCAGCTATCTTGCTTGGTCACGTTTAATCTATTTAAAAAGTTGGATAAAATTTTGCAAAATACTCTTTCAAGTAATACAGATTCAGATTCAAAGAGAGATGCGAAAAGATTAAAGCAGATAATGATTTCAGACCATGAATGGGATCTTCTTACCGATTTAACAGAAATTTTATCAACATTTGCAAATGTAACAGAAGATCTAGGTGAAAGTAATTATGTTACAGATAGTATATGTGCCCTAATGTTAGTAGAAATTATTAAAACGCTTAGAATTGAATCAACTAATTTATCAGATGATCAAGACTTTAATATTGATGAACAAAAGGATAATGTATTTGAAAACAATGAAGAACAAAATCCTATGCTAAATTATGATATTAATGAGCCTATTAGTACTTTTGGTTTACTTAGAAAATATGATATAGAAATATGAAAAAATATTATCCTACTCTTACTACTGAACCTCTAATCTTCTCCATCCTTGATCCTTAGTTTAAAAACCTTTATTTTGCGTCAAAAGATCAACAAACTGATACAAAAAGCATTTTTCTAAACTATTTGAACAAGAAAAAGAAAAATATCAAAATAAAACTGGTATATTAAAATAATCTCAACTGAAACCTTTAGCAAAGAAGAGAAAAACTTTAATGGAATGGCTTAATACCAAAGATAGTATAGTAGCACTCAATGAAATTGTTAGTTACCTGAAATTCCTTTATGTTCGGATCCCTGATGTGGTGGAATAAAAAAAGAGCAATTTCTAATTTTAGCCCATCTTGCTTGAAAGTATTTAGGAGTTTCCGCAACATCTACTGCAAGTGAATGCCTTTTTTCTGATGCTGCAAACTTAATGATCAATAAAAGAACTTGTATGAAGCCGAAATTGTTCAAAAAAATAATGTTTTTGAAAAGAAATACCTTAGTATGATAGTATTATAGCTATACAATATGTTAGGCTTTTGTGTTTATATAAATTTATAATAAAGTATAAACATTTAGTCGTAAATAATTAATGTTATAAAAATAAATAATTAAACCATATTTCTAAAATTCTGCAACATTCTTTTTTATATGAGACGAAAAGTAAAAACTGTTATTATAACGGTTAAATCAGGTAGGATCCGGTTAGTATCCGGTTTGAAAATTTGTTATTGGGTATTAACCCGGATTGGAATTTTTCTAACAAATCGATCTGTTATATCCAATATTAATCTGAGTCTAAACACTAGTGAACATAATAGAGGTTATTACTATCATGGCGGAAGATACAAAAGGAAAGCCTCATTAATAATAAGTCCTATTATATCTCCGATATCTGGCTAGGAGAATATTAGGTGGATTATAGACTGAATTATCATATAGGTTTATTTTTTTAGTTGAATCGAAATCAGCAAATTAATAGACATTATTGTTTCGTGTTTTGTGACGATCGTAGCATCCAAAAGTAATGGTTCTACAGTATTATATTTTGCAAAATCGATCTACAATGAACTTCTAACCCATAATACTACTCTCTAAGGGTTCAGTGTCACGATATAAAGTGAACACCATTTTACGCATATTCTGCTAGAAGTGTCATATGATACTGTTCTCTAAGGACCCAATGTCATGATCTATTGTGAATATCCTTCTACATATATAACGTTATGGGTGTCATATGATACTACATACATACTGCTATAAGTGTCATATGATATTACATCCTCTGGGCTCAGTGTCAAATGATTATCTACATATATACTGCTATGAATGTCATATGATACTGATCCATCAAAGCTCAATGTCATCTGATAATTGTGAAATACAGGTGGCCTTTGTATTCTATATAAAAATTATTCTGAGTGATGTCATAGAACACATGATACTGCAGGTGTCATACAAAATATAAATATATGTATCATGAACACCAATAATAAAAAATAAATTCTGACCAATCATTTATTAAATATGTTCAGCTAATACTTTATATTACATATAAAAATAACAGATCACACATTGGAATCTATGTAAATATGATAGGCTAACACTTTCTATTACATCAAAAAATAAAGCAGAACATTTATTAGAATCTATGTAGTTATGCAATACACAGCACTTCTATTCAATCAGTCAACATTGGCTCATTTAGTTCTAAATCATCAAATTGATCAAGCCATTTTGGTTAAGAAGAATTCGTTCTAATTCTTTCTTGAATAACTTTTATTTCTTTATCAGTAAATTTCCCAAAAGACGATGGTGAAATTTTCCTAATTCGCTTGATCTCATCTCTTCCTAAACCTTCTGTTTTAAATATGTTGTAAATATTTTTAGCTGATTATTTTTTCTTGTTAAAGATATTACGAGTCATATCAAAGGGGAATTGTCACTTAATTTCTACATTAAACAATATTCATGCGGTTTGAAAAGAATGAATAGAGGTAAGTTTGGCTAATTTCTTCTCCAATACTTCTCCAAGAGGATAGTGAAAGTCAAGGATTTCATATTCTATGTGGGATACTTCACGTGTTTTTTATTAAGAATCTTTTCAGCATGAAGTATTTTATTGTGTAATCTGACGAATATTGTTTCTGGAATTATAGGATCCCCTGTTTTCACATCTGACACCTTTGGTAATGGATTGAAGTCTTGTGGTCTGTTGGTTAATTCTTTAAAAATTTTTTTAACATTATCATCTTTTCTAGGATTTAGCTTTGCATCATCATTATCACTAAAATAAATAAGATATTGACAATGAAAACATGTCATATCTTTTTTTAAGAAAATAATAATAGTTCTAAAATAGAAGCTATAAAGACAGGACAATCTCATGATTGATTCCAAGTTAGTTCCATTAGTTTCGAATAATGGATCAGTTTTTTATACCAAGAACAGGTGACAGATTCAGCTTGATTCTCGTGATTAGTGATACTCCTATAATCAGATTCAAAAAAATCTTCTTCATTGATCAATGCTATTAGATCTTTCTGATTTCATGAGTATTTTTTTTTGAGATATATTTACAAAAGGGTAGAATATAGGGTTTTTATACTTCTTGAACACATTTCACTTGTGATCGCGAAATTATAATAACTGGAACTTGCTAGAAGAAATACTCTCATTAATCTTTGAATGACAAAGCTCTTTTATTATTGGCTAAAAATATGTAATAAGAAATTTTTGTTTAGACTCAAGCGGAAACTTTGGTATCAGGTCTAAGATCTAAATTTTACGTAATCACACATACAGTATAATAGTTCACTCATATTACATATAGTTTATTTTGTATTACTTTATCCAATAAAAAATTTTATTGATTTTCAAAACATATGTCTGCTAAATGTATTTATTAATAATATTACATGTGCCTTTATATTCTACTATCAGTTATAAAAAAATAGTTAGGTTTATTAACAGATATTGTTATTGATATTATTTATTATATATTAATAAAAAAACTGCCTAATTCTACTCATTAGAATCTATTCCTTTGGAATCAGTACCAGCTTAATTGATGATTACATTAATGACATTAGCACTTTGTGAAAACAAAAGGAAGGTAGGTATGACTGGCCTGGAGATTGTAGATGTTTCAATAGATGGTGTTACTGATCTTGATAAAACAGGTGTATTTACAATGGTTTTAGATGATGATATTTGTGATCTTGATGGTATAGGAGATGATGATGAAGAAGTTATTTTGCTTAACCTCCTAATGCTCTCATTATATACTCGTTCGAATGGAAGATCTAGCAAAATTAAAATATATTGATATTAATAAAGTTCACCAGTGACTAATAATAATTGAGAAGCATCAGATTCCCAAAAGTGTAGTTACTAGGCTTCAACCAAAATTCGCTAGAGAACTCTTTATAGATCCCCTCTCCTATTAAACTCCTTTTTTTCCCACCCTTTCTATATTTTACAGCTGTTTAATAAAATAATGATAATAAGAATATTATTAGCTGAATTTTTCCTAGGGCTAAGCAAGAGTTACTTACTTTATAAGCCTTCTCAAGATTTTTGAACTTCTTGCAATAGTCTATGCCAGTGAAAAAATTGGTATTTTCATGTTCATTAATTTTTTCAACAATATCATCCCAAATCAAGAGTTTCTTTTTATTCAAAATAAAGTGAAATTCAGCATTTCTCTATTTTTGTTTGTCAATGAGGAAGCGGGTCTGTGCATCACTTCACTTGATAGAAGACATAATTTCACATGATGAGAAGAATTCTAAAGAATGGGTTCTTAATTATAAAGATATATCTAATGATGTGAATAACAAGTATAATAAATATATAATGATTAGTTCAAATAATAACGGTGGCTTAGTTGCATTTTATCTGATTAGTCGATCATCTCGTGATTTTGGTGACTAGCTAGCATTGAAGAAGTGTCTGAGAACTGTCGTGGAATTGGCAGGTAGCTAGAATGATTCCTGTGATACAATATACGTCATACATCTCTGATTAATGATCTGAGAATAATTTAGCCATTATATTATCTTGGAACTAATTTAACTGAATTATGCCATCAGAAAATCCATTACATGCATGTGAATATGCATATAGTCAGATGAAGACCTTATATAAACCTTGATATACTTGTAATCGAATAAAAAAAATGAATCTGATATTTTATTATAATATACTTCTACAAACTGCTATAACGATAAATATTCACTAAAAACGATATATCACTAAATTGCTATAAGTCTTATTTATTATCCATTATTACATATAATCATCAAATATGCCAGGTCAAACTGTTACAATTATTTTAGATAAAGTTTATAATAAATCTGTACCTAAACCTAATAATCTCCGTCCTGGATATGATTTGAAGCATGTTCATAACGTTCAGACTTATAATGATATCTATAGGCTTGAAAAAGTAGTTGAAATAAAAAGACGATATGATTATTTATCTATTATTAAATCTTATGAAATGTCACAGCAATAGGCTTTTCGCATAAGAGATGCTCTGCAAGAGTTACTTTCAAAGCAAGAATATAGTTTATACCATGTGTATAGTCTTTTCACCTCATTTGGATAAGGAAAAAATAAGACGTTCTATGACTATGATATTGATGGATTAAGAGATATTCCACATGAGTATTGTAGACCTAGTGTTTATAAAAGTCAAATGGCTATCTGCTTTAAATGCTAGAAATTGATAAAAATTATCGAAGTAAAGTCAAAAAAGATATATTATGATGGATGGTGCAGATGGGACTATAAAGTAAAGGCTGAAGACTTGATGAAAAATCATTGGGATAACTCATGTTTCAAGACTAATAAACATATGGAAGCCTATCTTCTCGCAAACTCGAAGTCAAAAATATTACGTGAAAAATTTTCTGACCAGAGGGAATATTATATCCTGAAAAAAATACACCTGATTTCTTCCCGCAGTTTGATAGAACAAGTGGGAGCAAAATATTTATCTCATCTATATATGCAAAACAAAATAACTTAAACCATCTTAATCAGCCAAAAGGTATTACGTTAAGATTGAAAGATGGAACAAAAGTCACGATTATTTAACTGGTTTAATTAATATAATTTATTTTTTTACGTTACATAATCTGTATAGATGATCGCCTGTAAAAAATTGGCTAAAAATGCTATGCATAATCTGCCTATTCTGGATTAAATCCTCTAATATATAAATATTTTAATAAAGTATTTTTCGAGAAAAAGAGGAATTTGTTCAATGAAGCAATCATGGGGGTTTTTGATTCCTAAATACTATAATTATAGCTTTGAAAATTTCTATGCAACAGTTATCCAATGAGCTTACAGGAATTATAAAAAGAGACCTGTATCTTTAACAAAATAAGTTTGGAAGGTGATGAAGAATGATGGTACTCCTGACAGGTGGAAGTATTTAGGTATTATTCCTTGTGGTGAGGCTTATTATTATATTAATGGAAAACTCATAAAATTTAACTGGAAAAGTGATTATTTTAGTATGCTATATAATTATACCTTTTATTCTCCTATAACTTGGATAGAAGAGAAAAAAAATCAATTATTATACCGATTAGGTTGGGTACTCTTTGTTTATGCTAGAAAACATTATAACAAAAAGGTTATATACTAAATTGGTATACTATGATAAAATGGGCACAGAATCCTGAATATTATCTTGATACTAAAAAAAGTCTAGTTAGTACACTAGTAATCAGAATGGAAATGTTAGCGCAACTCGATTTACATATTAATATCCTGCCTAATAGTAATTAGTGGTATAGAGATAGAGCATCCTGAAAGGAGCCTAAGCCAGCTCAAAATGTTTCCTAATCCATATATAGTATTATTTTATAAACATAGAGCTAATCTGTATAATATATTACCTACAGGAGAAAACCCATCTATAGATTTTTTAAAATACGATTAAAGTGATACATAAATAAAAATGGTTTTATATAGGAAAATGTATTATATTAGCTCCATATTTACCTACGCCTACCAATGCATATAAGGCATGTGAAGTACATATATAATGTAATAGTAATATACTGCTAATCATCTATGTAAATGCGACTATCTGCTTGTATGACAAAATAATTTTACACATAAATCAATCCTTCCAAAAAATATTTCAAATTTTTTTCTCCCTTCTTCAGTCATAGACCTGCAGGAGATAATCTATCCTAATCCGAACAGACAAAAAAATCTATATATATGTATTACCCCTAATGCCTTTCTAAATGTCAAGATCTTTAATGCATATTCCTATTCTTTAATGTAAAATTTTGGCATAAGTCTGTTACATATTCTTCTGTCTCTTCTCCTTAACAAGAATACAAGCCCAAAAGGAATGTACATTGAATCATTTAAAAGGATAGCATATGAAATTTTTTGTTCAGATCGCCTATTCTATATTAATAATACTAAACTATGTCTTCTGAACTATATTCAAAAATTTACAATTTTTTAGTAACAGCTAAACAAGAACATATTACCGCCACATCAGTTATTTATCAGGGAATAGAAGAAAACCCCTGGATTTCACAAAATGATTTAAGAAGTATTGTGGATCAGGCTATAGGATTTGCTAGTAATTTGTATTCTGAAGAACCTTCGTGTTAATTAAAACTACTTCAAATATTTTTACAGGTTAGTTGTTAACCTTTATTAATATTTTTTTTCACTAAATGATAATATTATGTGATCTACTCTCAGGAACGAGGTTGAAATAATAGTGTATTCATCCTATTAGCCTGCATCTTAAAAAACTAATTTCTTGAACTATATGAAGGGTTTTTAAACTATCGCCTATGTTTTTAATCATTCTATTAGCTCTGCCCCAAAAATAATCTCAATGCATGAGGGAGTAGTTGGCCTATAGGACATCATGTAGTTATTTTAGTATCACACAGGATTTCATTAGCGTGATGGCTACACTAAGATGATAACGTTGCATATATACTGATAGCGAATGCGTTTTTAATGATGAAATTTTTGTATTGCTGAAACTAATACATCATCTATTATATTAGTTCGAAATCGCTTTTGAAGGAGTCTGCAGTTTACGTGATATAGAAACGGTCAAAACAAATAAAGAGAAGAGATACCTCTAAATACAGATGAGATAAAGAAAAATATAAATGAATTGAAGTTCAAACTCAAGAAAAATATAACAACGCTGATTAACCAGTATCTATACTTTGGTATAGATCATGTGAATATTGCTAAATTATTCATGGAAGGACACTCTAGCTAGTCAGGTAATTTCTGATAAGTTGGAAATTGTACAAAATCTACCAGGGCAATTTAAGCATACTTTTATGAAACCAGCATGACAAATAGTACCTTCATCTCTCCCGTTTGCAGTGAAAAGAAAATGTAATGAATTTGTTATTACTTTCATTGAGAATCTTGAAATTGATTTACCAAGAAAACTTATATATAATGGGACATGAAAGGAAACAGAGAATGAGCTCACAATAGTTGCAGAAAGAATTTTAGACACATTATAGGTATTTTTATGATATTTTGTAATATCTAAGTTATTTCCTGCTCACTACTTATGTCTTTTTATGGATATTAGAAGCGA